TTAATGGGGGGGGGGAGGGGGGGAGGAGTCTGCCAAATTCCTTAAACTGGATAACATGAGTTTCTCAGGCTTGTTTCATAAGTAAAGTTACATTTCATGAAAAAAGTAACTAGTTTTGCTTGCAGTTCAGACAGTCACAAGTGCGTTTTCTTGGGCAGCCATAAGGCTGAGGTCTGCAACAGAAATGCTTTATGTAGGTCTTCCATTGTGTCCCACAGAAAATTATAAATGATGTGTAAACTCATGTAGGCAGCTTTCATCAAATCAATTCATACAGCTTCAGTAGGGTATTCTTAAATAAAAGATGACTTTTATACCTCTCAGTGCTCACAGAGAAGAATGCAGTGAATAGTTACGTTCTTTGATGGCATCAGTTTTATGCACCATTTGTAGCATCAGTGTGAATGTCAACACAGTGTGAAAGACAACTGTTATCTTAGTACTTTTATGAAAACAGTTTTAACTTCACAACACCCCTGAAAGGTCTTGAGGACCACTAGTGGTGTATAAGCTACTCTTTGATGCTGTCTAACAAAGTAGATTTGAATACTTCGGTGAATCTGAGTGACACTTAACTTCCGTAGCTTGCTTTTAAAATTTTTTCAGCAACTGCAATTCCTACTATATATCTACATGACTTTTCTATATATTTATTCCTTTTCTCTTGTGTGTCTTGGGAAAGCTTTGCTTTTTTAGAAATAGAAATTTTCCAGATGAGGATGATAAGATCCTAAAATTTCGGTGGGCAGAGATAAAGCCATGGCAGCTCTGAAATACTGTTTTGATCAGTCTACAGTAGAACGGTGACTATTGGCATCTGTACTTAGATCCCTTCCCTGGTATCTTTTTTTTTTTTTTTTTTCTGGAGCTACTTTTTTCCACGATCTCTTTTAGCTCCAAAGAAGGTGACTGGAATTTGCCTAAATTCATATTTACAACATGTGACAATTACCTTGAATTGTGAGGTACTCAGTAAAAATGCATGCTGTCAGAGCCAGAAATAATTCTGGTCTTCATAACCTGTACTTGCCCAATTTGAAACCATTTGCAGATTGAAAATATGTAGGAACCGTGTGTATCATGCACAGAAGTGAAAAGAGAAGTGATTTAATGTGAGACTCTTTAAGTGTATGATATAGTTATTACATGATCATATATGAGATGAAATGCCCTTATTAGATGATGCAAGATACTACTTTTAAAGTTGACCATCCTTTCATCTCTGTCTACTTTTTCCCCATGCTTATTCATTTCCACATTTACTCTTACCTCTCTTGTTTCACATGCAGAATACCCCAAGGTGGACAGAGAGGCAGACTGGGTAGAGAGTGAAGATTGTCTTTTCCTTCACAACTCATACCTTAGTGTGGAAATGACTTTGCTAACCTGATAGCATTTGACAAAGCCAACCCTGCAGGATTTATATCGTATTTTTTCCTCCGTCTCCTAGGAGTGTCGAAGCCAAGCCAAAGACTGCAGGAGATCTTGTCTCCTAGAAAAACAGGTTAACTGCATGACCTTAAACCAGAGGCAAGGGCCTGGTATACTCTGATAGTCTGTTTAGGGTAAGAGCAGCTGGATTGTGCCTTTGAAAGCTGTCTTGTAAGGCATTTTCACTCAGCTGCAAGTGGAGGCAGGGTATTGGGATATTGAATTGCAATGAGAACAAAATAGTATTCTGTTTTCCTGCACTAAAATGGATGTGTATTACCATTTTGAATCAAGAGTAGCTCTGGCAACGCTTGTTTTTTTTTCTGGTAGATCCACCTCCCACCCTCAGCTTTGAGTCATTTAGGGACTGGCGTGGTGCTGTAGGACAATGCACATTGGACTGCAAGGTCAGTTTGAACATCAAGGTCAGCATTTCAAACTCACCAGCTTCTCCTCAGAAACCCTATACAGGGTTCCTATGAGTCAGAAACAACTTGAAGACACTTAACATTAGCATAGGGCATTATGCATTGAGCTGCTAACCACAGGGTCATCAGTTCAAATCTGTCAGCTGCTCTGCCAGAGAAAGATGATGCTTCCTGCTCCCAGAAAGATTTACAACCTCGGAAGCCCTATACAGATTCATTATGAGTCGGAACTGACTTGGCATCACATCACTCCCACCACCACGAACATGTGTCCCTTTTGTGGCTGCACTTCTAAAGTGAGGTGCAGGTGCCAATGATTTAGACAGTAGGAGGTCCTGAGGGTGCCCTGGGCTGTCTGTACTCTGTAGATACAGTTCCTAGAAAATCAACCAGAAGGATCTAGAAATACTTTGTCTTTCAGTTTCTAAATTAGAATAGCATAGATCACTTGGATAAAATATCTGAAACCGAAACTACCCTGAAGAATTTGGATTCCATTGTTAGTTGTCATTAAAAAGGTGACCTCTGTACCCAGTTGTGGGCATTTTTGCTGCACACCTACAACCAGGGGCTAATTTAATTCATATAATCAGATTCCATAAACCAGAGCAGTGGAAACGCCTGAGAGAAGCTAGTTAAACGGCAAATGGTCATTTGATTTTGATAGTGAGTTCTCCTATTAATTGTAAAAAGACAAAAAAGTATTTTATTAGTTCAAAACTTCTAATTACCAGCATTTCAAAATGTATGCTGTCTCCTGGGGCCTGGTAGCATAGGGAATCATTAAAATAATTCAACCAAAAACAAGCATCTAGATGGAGATGGTGTGAGATCATATATGTGGTTTTCTTATGAAAAGTCTGGTTAAGTCTCAACCTGGAGCTAGTCCAGTTCCTTTTATTTAGATTTTTTTTTTAAAGTAACTTTGTGAACACTAACTAGTGGTGTTTTCTTTGTCAGTATTGCTACTCTAGGTTTCTTTTAAATATCAATGCTAACATGTGGCTATATTGTGGTTGTTAAGTGCCATCGAGTCTTTCTGACTCATAGCGACCCTGTATAGGGTTTCCAAGGTACAGCTGTTGGGTTTGAATTGCCATCCTTGTGATTCGCAGTCTAATGTTGTCCTACAGCACCACACCAAGAGTTTTTTGGTAGACTTAAGACATTATAGGGAAAATATTAGGTAAATTATCTGCTTCCTACCTTTTCATTTTCTGTAACTACCTATAGACCTGAATGTACATCTTGGAGATGACAGGACTAGAAGAATGAAGCTGAGGAGAAAACAAAAAACACTTTCCCACTCTCCATCAAAACCAAAACCACATCATGGATTGACTGGGTTCCATTTTCCTTTAAAACAAAAGACTTCAAAGGCTTGCTGGTTCATGTATTTCTAGGATCATCCTGCTCTTGTTTCAATATGTAGCTAGCAAAACTGGCATCCATAGTAGCACAGTACCCATAGCTGTTGTAGCTTTGGGCTTGGTGTTCAAGGAGGAAGTCTGCCACATTGGATTGCATTTGGCAGTAGTACCCTCATCAAGTATCATTCAGGGATAGTAGTAGCCTTGTTATTTATTTAATAAGTGGCGTTTCACACATTGAAAAGATTTAAGCAGGTACCGCAAGTTCTTTGCAGATAAGTCCATGGAAGGAATCTTAAAAACGGGATAACAGATATTTATCTACATTACTTAAAGATGGTGTTTAAACACTCTATTTCATCTGTCTGAGTTGTTATGAGGTGCACATACAAATACGTAAAATATCTAAGGGAGCCATTAAGCACCATTTTAAATGTAAGGTAAAGATATTATTTTTAAATGAATTCTGAAAAAAGGTATTTGTCATATCTTGGCCTTGATGACAATATGTGGTGCCTGCAGCTTTTAAAAAGGTTTTAACATTCATGGAAAAAATTAAGCAAATCATGATGCCTATTGAATTTCTAGAAGCCCATAAATGCTGGTCGCTGACTGGCTAGTTTAGTGGTTTCTATCGCTTGGTGTGCCAAGAAGGAGATGAACGTGGATTTGGAACCATGCCTGGCTTTCATAGTTATGCTGTCATGCCCCTATATGCTGCCTCATTCCCGTGTAACATTGACTCCTTCAACAAATAGGCTGTGAATTAACTGAGGTAGAAAAATACATTTAGAAAGTTCCATTTTAGGAAGTTTCATGTAGATTATTGTAAGACTCCAAGGAGTGAAATGAATGGATGGTTCATGCGCACATTTTCCTTCTATTCATTCTTGCAAGCTGAAATGTGGTTTTCTTAGTTACCATATCTAAAAGCTCCTACCTCAAGTAAAATCATCTAGGCCTTGCTCCATATTGGATGTTTTTTGGTTGGAAAACAAACCTTTCCTCTTTATCCTTTTCATGGCAGGCCATGAGATGAACCTTTCTAATGATTGCTTTTTTTTTTTCCTAACAGGTGGGTCAGAGAGTTTTTAAATGAAGAAAACAAAGGCCTTGATGTTCTTGTGGAGTATCTGTCATTTGCGCAGTACGCAGTAACGTAAGCAACACTTGGTTTATTTGCTTTTAAATTTTATGTGGTTACAGAAGATGCAGCTCAGTGGTAAAATTATACCCTGCATTGAAGGAAGAAACCCAGAAGCAAATGTGGTAGTGTTGAAGGAGGTTTATTTCTGTGTGGGTAACTAAAAAGGAATCACATAATTGGTATTAGAAATGTTTTTAAGGTAGAAATAAGACAGGTGCTTCAAAATAATCCTTAGAGAACTACTTACTTTAAAGAGAGTTATTTTTGGGCTCCAGTTATGTATGGTAGAATACCAGTTGTTGAAAGAGGTTTGTGATACATTGTTAAGTGAAAAAAATAGAAGAGTACTGCCTTCCTTTGTATTTTAAAAAAATTACATATATACACACATATCTGTATATGCTCAGGAACTCTGAGACACTGTAATGTAAGTACTTGACTGCTAACCACAAGGTCAGCAGTTCAAACCCACCAGATGCTCTGTGAGAGAAGTAAGAGACTTTCTGCTGCTGTAAAGATTTCTAGCTTCAGAAACCCTAAAGAGGGTCAAGTCAACGATAATGGGTTGGGTTTTGGGTTTGATAGTAAGTGTATTGTTGTTGTTGTTAAGTGCCATCGAGTCGGGTCCGACCCATAGCGACCCTGTACAGGGTTTCCGAGGGTGTAAATCTTTACGGGAGTAGAA